CTAATTTATTTTGCATTAATAAAAACATTTTAAGCAGATTAAACTTGCAGATGTGGTCTAATCTCACACACGTTTTAGACCATTTCTTTCTGCTTTCCTGTGTTTGATAGAGCTTAAAACCCCGTTTACACGTACACGGGTATTTTTTAAAAACTGAGACATTTCCCTTCGTTTGTTCCCATCTTTTACACGCAAATGTTGAATTCGCCTCTGAAAACGAATCTTTCTAAAAACTCCGGCTAGAGTGGAGAATCTGGAAAACTACGGTCTGGCATTTGCGGGATAAATGAAAGTGCAACCAGTGTTTATCTTTTGCTCTGATGATGATGATGAAGCATTCAGAGCAGCAGTCGCATTTCTTCTGGTGCAAAGACTTTTCATGTGTTTGTATTTGCACACACAGCTGATGAATCATATCTATGACCAGAGACGAACAAGGGCTTTAACAGATCTGTGGAGAGGCGAGCCGGCTTAGTAATGCTCGTTTTTGAAGGTATTTTTGACCAAAACTTACAACTGTAATAAAATAATGCTACAGGTTTGAATCTAATCCAGGTCCCACCCAGAGGCTTGGTGTAGTTATGATGGAGCTTGGTGGAGTATTTATCCGGGTTGATGTAAACGAAAACGTTTTTGAAAACGATGCTGTGTGCACGATGTTATTTTGGAAAATGGAGGGAGGGAAATTTGTTTCTCAACATACCTGGCAATAGCGGCCAAAACTTGCCCTGTGCAAGGTCCACTGTGGCTGCAGCGTGTGTGGTGTCTCGGACGTGAGTCTTTCATACAAAAAAGAGTCCAAAAACTGTGTTCCTCAATTAGTTTATTGGACATACCTTATAGCCATCCAAAAATACACAGATTCAGTACTCATTCACAGCGACAACGGTCAAAAGACTGTATACCTTCACGGTGCAACACCTGTGTGCACATTTTCCTCCCCTTTTATAGGGCAGGTACTTGCATAAATTACAAATAGCGCCTCACAGTGGCAGGAGGTACAGACATGTAATAATTCTCCAACACCAGTGATGCTTAAGAAAAGCGAAACGTCCCCATTTTGCAGGACTTGCGGACGAGAGCAGGACAAAATTTCACAGATGTTGGCAGGAGCGTGACTGAAAATTCTGTCCCGCACAGACGTCTAAGCTCCACCTTATATTTATTCAATTACAGGTGGTTTTATAGCTCAAAAACACCTAGAAAAACAGGCATTCTGACTGTGAACGGGGTCGCCTCTCCACAGATCTGACCTGTAACTTGGTCTGGTTTGATCTCCGTGAAGATAGAAAGATTTAATAAAATACCGTGAAACATTCTAGACAAAGACATAACATTTGCACGGAGAAAATCATTTGAAAAGTTTTAAAATCCATGTTTAGATAATGTGGTATTTTCAAAAGATAGAGCACAAAAAATTGAAAAACATATTTATTATTGTCAACATAAAGGTTTTTTTTACTTTTAGACTTGCTCACAATGAGAACCACAATGTGTACTCGAGTAAGAGTACTGTAAAATACTGTATATTACTCAAAAATCTTGAAACTACTCGACAAGAAAAGAACAATTTAATGAAAAGCTACTCAGGTAAAACTACAACTCTGCTAGAACCAGCGTAAAACCCCTGAATAATTCATCAGACGGGACCTTTTAACGTTATGTAACAAGTCTCCAGCAGGGGGCCGTTTCAGGACATTTCCCAGGACATCCCGAGCGAAGGGTCGTCGCCGCGGCAACGCTCTCCATGTCACGGATTACGCAGCATGTTTATATTTACACATTTTTCAGAATACCACGGGGAGGCAGAGAGAAAGTGTTTTGGTGTTTTAAATAATCAAAACGCTTTATGTTTGTGTTTGCAGAGACGCAGATGGAGAGAAATAGGAATAAAGCTGAACGTACTAAAGGGGCATTGTGTAACTTTTCTGGGGGAGGGTCAAACGGTTGTCTCACAGGTCAGGTTTGTGGAGAGGCGACACCGCTCACAGTCAGGATGTTTGTTTTTTGAGGGTTTTTTTTTTAGCTCTAAATCACTTGTAATTGAATAAATGTAAGGTAGAGCGGTTTAATGTGACACTGCGGAACATTCCAGATATCTCCATAGCAACAAGCAGGTGATGGAGACTCTACCAGAAAAGCTACACAATGCACCTTTAAGTAACAACTAATTACTGAACATTTGTTGACAGGAAGATGAGCAGATAAAATTATTTAAGATATTAAACTTTGTAATGGAGCATTGGGCCCAGTCAAGCAGAAGTAAACAACAAGGCCAAAAATTCAAGTTAATGCATCTGATATAAAAATGTATTGAACAGATACATATGTACTCTAGTTTATGAAACTGTTGACCTTTTTTCTGTACCATTTTTGGTTCTAAAGTTACATATGTTTTAAACAGACCATGAATGAAACATGGAACAAAAATTATTTCCCAAATTTCAAAGACCTGCAAAATCATGTAAATAAACTGATGTATTTCATCATATCTTGTGTTATTCCATCTTTGAACTGTTGATGAAGGTACATGATTTTTCAAAAAAAAAAATAAGTATTTAAAATGATAAAAATTTGCTTGGAAGGACTGACATATTTTATAGAAATAGTTTCCTTTCATTTTGAAGTAATATTAAAGTATTCGGAAGAAAAAAGCGACAAATTATGTAAAATCCTGCACCTTCTACTTGTTTGCACAATTTTCCCTCCGTTACTTTTCCCTCCGTTACCATGACCTTTCTTAATAAAAAATCTCATTATTCAAAAAGTAAGAGGTTTTTCAACCTAATCTTGTACCATATGGTAGAAAACTATATGAAGCAAATATTCAAACCAGTTTGTTAAGGATATGTAAGTGAGAACCAAGAGTTATCACTGTTTGTATTTATTGCCCAAAAAGTGCTGCATATTTCATTCCCTCCGTTACCAACATGAGTTTTTTATTTTTTGTCAACAACTTGAAAGAATATCACAGGTTTAACTTTACTCTGTTGGAGTGTAACTCTTTCCTACATTCTGATACTTTACTTATTTCAATAGTTCCTCTAGTTTCTGAATAAGAGACATTTGAATGTCAAAAATCTGCCCGTTTCCCTCCGTTACCACTTGATCGGACCCACTGTATTACCAGATGACATCACAAGGTGGAACGGAGTGTTTTCTGAATGTTTAAGAGATGAGTTTTGTGTAACTGATCAGAAAATAGGGTAATATGGGCCCGTTACGTAACAAGTGCAAAAGTGAACAGCTGTTGACACACAGAGGAGCAGAAAACGGGACTCAAGAGAGATATTAAACTCTTTAAAACTATCAGGAACATAAACATAACACGACGCTGTGAAGAGATGTGTGGCTTGTAAACTTCAAAAATACATGTGAGCGTTAAACAACGAGGAGAGTGAAAACTGAGAAAACTGAAATGTCCCAATTGTGAATCTGAAACGTTTGTTCACTGTCTGTAAATGTCCAAAATATCAGGTTTAAAATGAAGCTAGTTGTTGAGGATGTGTTTACCCGTTGCTATGGCGATGTCATGGCGATGGCCGCAGAGCAGGAATACACGCATCAAGAATCTTCCGGTCATCGAGCAATGCATACTGGGAAGGATTTTCCGAAAAAGTGAGCATCAAACCTCCATGTTTGTTTCCCCAGTGGGATGTGTCTATTGTCAAAGTCGACCTTTTCAAGTCTTTTGAACCATGTCACTTTTGTTTCTGGTTCTGATATTGTCATATTTTAGTTTTGGGATTGGCACATCATTAATTGTGTGGTTGTTGGATCCTAATAGTGGAAAACAACTCAAGAAATTTGCGAACTCCATAAATGCAAAAGGGAATCAGATGTGTGTGACTGTAAACATCTGTTCAAACTGTTTCTCTTCCCAACGGAATTGAAAAATAGTGAAAGGCGAAGGCGATGGGCAGGATTGATCCACAGGAAGGACAAAAAAGTAAACTTTGACTGCCTAAATCATCCTGAGTTTGCAGCGAACATTTTGTATGTGAAGCACCAACAAAGTGTCCACAAAGCAGGATCGGGTGACAGCTGCACTGAGCCCCGTGCAGCCGAGGACCGCGCCGGGGCCATTGCTCCGCCGCGGTCCTTTCTGTGACATGTTAGTGTCATATGAACCATCTCGCACTCTGAGGAGCTCAGGGACCGGCCTCCTGCTGGTGCCCAGAGTCACGACTAAACAAGAGGAGTCAGAGTTTCAGGTTCATGCAGCTAAAACCTGGAACAGTCTGAACATGTGAGACAGACTCTTCTGTGACGCTGTTTAAATCCAGACTCAAAACATTTCTGTGCGTACGACTGAAAGGTTTTCATTCCGCACTCTTCTCTTTAATTTACGTCTCTCTTTTAATTTTAATCTTTATGATTATTTATGTTTTGATTTGTTTTTATTATGATTTTAATGTATTTCTTATTCTATAAAGCACTTTGAATTACTTTGCGTACGAATTGTGCTCTACAAATAAACTTGCCTTGCCTTTCGTCTGCGGTCACCCAACAGTCTACGCGGGCGCACTTTCGAGCCAGTCCCGATAAACAGTCCTGGTTTAGTTCTGGTTTAGTCCTGGTTTAACACTCCACTTCTTCTCCGTGCACAGAATCTCCACAGCTCTTTAGACTGTGTTTCTGTAGAATAAGATGCTTTTATAACCATAAAATAGTTGTTGAGGAGTGGATTGTTTCAGACAGAGCTCTACTGAAGGCCGAGGTGTGAAACGCACGCTCCGCCACTGATTTAATCCTGGTGTTCAGGGGAAATAAATGATCTGGTTTCATTTTGAGCTCATCCTGACGTTAGTTCTTCTTTACGCTTTGCTTCGATTTTGAGTTATTTGCTGGTTTACACTGTTCACTCCTGATCTTTCTCGTTATTTTCTACGTTCGTCTTCGCCGCGTAAAAGTTCTAAAGTCTCTGGCCTAAACGTTCAAATCCTAAACGGTCCTGAAACTGACCTGCGTGTTTTTGTTTCCTTCTTGTGTTTTTGTAGGAGCGGGTGGAGTACCTCTTCCTCATCATCTTCACTGTGGAGGCCTTTCTGAAGGTCATAGCCTACGGTCTGCTCTTCCACCCCAACGCCTACCTGAGGAACGGCTGGAACCTGCTCGACTTCATCATCGTCGTCGTCGGGTACGGAACCTTTTCACCTTCACAGTTTTGTTGTTTGGAGAGTGTCGGAGTCTGTTGGTGTTGGTGGTTTCTGTGGTTTGAAGTAGAGACTGTAAAAAAAACAAAAAAAAAAAAAGTGGACGAAGAGAGTCGTTTTAACATTTTAACGAACATTTTAAAATCAGAATAACGAGGTACAGAGAGAAGAGAGAAGGAGAAAGAGAGAAGAGAGAGAGAAAGCGGAGAGAGATGGAAGGAGAAAGGGAGAGAGAGAGAGGGGGGGAGAGGGAGAGAAGGAGGGAGGAAGAGAAAGGGGAGAGAGACGGAAGGAGAAAAGGAGAGAAAGAGAGAAGGGAGAGGAGGAGGGAGAGGTCAAGCGAGGGAGAGGAGGAAGGAGAAGGGGAGAGAGGGAGGGAGAGAAAGCGGAGAGAGATGGAAGGAGAAAGGGGAAGAAAGAAAGAAAGAAAGAAAGAAGGGAGAGAGGGTGAAAAAGCTGAGAGAGGTGGAAGGAGAAAGGGTGAGAACGAGAGAAGGGTGAGAGGACAAGAGGGAAGGAGGAACATAGGAACATAGGGAGGGAAGGAGAGAGGGAGGGAGGAAGAGAAAGCGGAGAGAGACAGAAGGAGAAAGGGACAGAAAGAGAGAAGGGAGAGAGAGAGAAAGAGAGAGGGGGGAGAGGGAGAGAGAAAAAAAGGAGAGAGGCAGAAGGAGAAAGGGAGAGAGAGGGAGTGAGGAAGAGAGAGAAAGAAGTCAAAAGAGAGGAGGGAGGGAGGGAGAGGAAGGAGGAGGAGAAAGAAGAAAGGGAGAGAAAGCGAGAGGGAGAGAGGGGGAGAGGAGGGGGAGAAAGGGAGAGACAGAGAGAGGAAGAGAGAGAAAAAGAGAGAAAGAGAGAGGAGGGAGAGAGAGGGGGGAGAGGAAGGAGAAAGGGAGAGAAAAAGAGAGGGGAAAGAGGGAGAGAGAAGGGAGAGAGAGCGCGAGGAGGAGGGGAAGAGAGGGAAAGAGGAAGAGAGAGAAAGAGAGGGAGGGAGAGAGAAGGAGGAGGTGAGAAAGAGAGAGGGAAAGTGAGACAGATGGAGAGAAAGAGAGTGAGAGTGAGGGAGTAAGAGAGAGAGAGGAGAGAGAGGAGAAGGAGAGGGGGAGGAGAAAGGGAGAGAGAGAGAGAAGGGAAGGAGGGGGAGAGAGGAAGAAAGGGAAGAGAGAGCGAGTGAGGGACAGAGGGAAAGAGGGGGGGAGAGAGAAAGAGGTAAAAAATAGAGGGAGGGAGAGAGCGGAGAGGGAGAAAAAGAGGTAAAGAGAGGGAGGGAGAGAGAGGGAGAGAGAGGTGAGGGGGAGAAAGAAGAAAGGGAGAGAAAGCCAGAGGAAGAGAGGGAGAGGAGGGGGAGGAAGGGAGAGAAAGAGAAGGGAGAGAGGAAGAGAAAGAGGAGAGAGACAGAAGGAGAAAGGGAGAGAAAGAGAGAAGGGAAAGAGGGAGAGGGAGGAAGAGAGGGGGAGAGAGGGAGCGAGAGAGAGAGAAGGGAAAGAGAGAGCAAGGAGGAGGGGGGAGAGGGAGAGAGAGAAAGAGAGACAGATGGAGAGAAAGAGAGTGAGAGAGATAGAGAAAGGATGAGAGCGCAAGAGAGGCAGGGAGAACGTGAGCAGGAGGGAGGGAGAGAAAGGAAAGAGAGGAGTGAGGGGGAAGAGAGAGAGTTACGGAGAAAAAGAAAGAAGACGTGTCAGAAAGAGAAGAGGTGGATTAGAGATAGAGGGAGGAGGGGACGATAAAGAAAGTGAAGTGTAGAGGAAGAGAGCGCCAGACTGAGAGAAAAACTTTGACTTTTTTAACCCCTCATTGAGTATTCAGTCCTTCGAGTGAGACTGAAAGAGACAAACAGAGATAAACAGAGATGGAGAGAAAGGTGAAAAGAGAACGAACCAGGAAATCGTGCTGGTACGCTGTTAGCATGCTAGTCGTTTTGGGCTGCGGCGCGACTGCAAAACACACTTATAAATGTTTGTGGTGAATAATGAAGAGGCTCAGGAAAGTGGGGAATAAGTTTGGACCGTTGGATTTAGTTCAATTTGTACGAAAAACGGCCAAACAACGATGCTGAATCCTACATTTTTCACACTTTAAAGGTTCTAAATTACATCAAGCAGAGTGTCCAGATGTAAATATTGACCCGGGACAGTCCCAGGTTTGATCCTGTGTCCCCTGTCCCAGCACATTTATACAAAACCACTGATTTGTCTCAAGAAATGTCCCAGTCTGATCCCAGTAACAGTAAAGAACAGTGTTGGGGAGTAACAGATTACATGTACCGGAGTTATGTAATCAGAGTACAAATTATGAGTAACTGTATTCAGTTACAGTTACTGTTTCAGTGAGTAGAAATAAATGGATTACATGGTGGTATTTTCCTGTTTTCACATTTTGGGCTAAACCAGGACTTAAACCAGGACTAAACCAGGTCTAAAACTGGTTTAAACCAGGTCTAAAACAGGACTAAACCAGGACTAAAACAGGACTAAAACATGTCTAAACCAGGACTAAACCAGGACTAAACCAGGTCTAAAACAGGACTAAAACAGGACTAAAACAGGTCTAAAACAGGTCTAAACCAGGACTAAACCAGGACTAAAACATGTCTAAAACCAGGTCTAAACCAGGACTAAACCAGGACTAAACCAGGACTAAAACATGTCTAAACCAGGTCTAAACCAGGTCTAAACCAGGACTAAACCAGGACTAAAACAGGTCTAAAACATGTCTAAACCAGGTCTAAACCAGGACTAAAACATGTCTAAATCAGGACTAAACCAGAACTAAACCAGGACTAAAACATGTCTAAACCAGGACTAAACCAGGACTAAACCAGGTCTAAAACAGGACTAAAACAGGACTAAAACAGGTCTAAAACAGGTCTAAACCAGGACTAAACCAGGACTAAAACATGTCTAAACCAGGACTAAACAGGACTAAAAACAGTCTAAACCAGGGACTAAAACAGGAAAACAGTCTAAACTAAACCAGGTCTAAAACATGTAAAACCAGGACTAAAACCAGGAATAAACCAGGTCTAAACCAGGACTAAAACATGTCTAAACCAGTACTAAACCAGGACTAAACCAGGACTAAAACATGTCTAAACCAGTACTAAACCAGGACTAAACCAGGACTAAAACATGTATAAACCAGGACTAAAACAGGACTAAAGCTGCGTGGACGTGTCTCCTCCTCTTCTATCAATAATATTTTTAATCTGGTTCAGTAAAGTCTGGGCTTTTTATTTTCTTTTATCAGACAAAACATCTTGTATTACGATTTCCTCATCTTTGCTTCTCTACAGCAAACCAAGTAATCCAAAGTATTCAGATTACATTACTCACTTTAAGTAATTTAATGGATTACAATACAAACTACATTTTGGTGTATGTAATCTGTAATCTGTAGGGGAATACATTTTAAAAGTCACCTTCCCAACACTGGTAAAGAGAGACATAAACTGTCATTTGTTTAGGTAAAATACAGAAAAGCTGCTTAAAAAACGACCAAAACACAAAGAAAATGTGACTAAACTGACTCACATTAGAGCCAAGTGCGACAGTTTTTCATAATTAAACTCTCGTTTCACAATTTTGCTATTACCAGTCTTTTATTTTGAAAATCTGGTCACTCTAGTTTTGTTGTTACCTCCTCATAAACAGACCTGGAGTTTTTGTGTTTTGTTTCATTCACACATGTTTGAGTAACACTTTATTATTAGTCTGTCTGCATCTCCAAAGCTCAAAATGCTCTGTTCCAGTTTGTGATGTCATGAAGTGGTAGTTTAAGTGAGCAGCTACAGCTTTTGTTCAGTTGAGATCGGAAATTCCAGGGCTGAATTCATCCAAATGATTCTAGTGAAACTGTAGGAGCCTTTTTTCATTACTAAGATAATTATTCTTATTTTGTTTGATTTAATATTTACTTAAAATGCATGATTTTTTTGGTCATTTTTGGTAATTCTTTGCGGTGAACATGATTATTTTTTGATTATTCGCTTAAAAATAATTTGTTCTATTTACATTTTTCTTTCAGTTAATTATTGCTAGTGTTAATCATAAGTTTACTTAAGTAGTGTTTACTTTTTGTATTATTTTGTGGTCTATGGCTCCTCGTTTTTGATAAGGATGATGTTTTTCAGATGTTGAGAGAACTGGGAGTGAATGAAGATACAGAATTGTTATGATGCTCCGGACATTATAAAGACATTCAATTTGTATGTTTGATTTTATGAACTATAACATCAACCTGCCCAGGGACGACAGGTGGAAATTAACACTGGTGCCACAACCTGGTACAAAGCATCTCTCCTGTTAAGGTTCATGTAAAATTGTGCACTGTCTAGGGATGTGACAATAACCGAAATATTGTGATATCGTATCATCAAACTTCTCACAATAATATCGTGAATCATCACAATATGTCAAAGTCACAAGTCTCTTTGCTTAAAGGTTGTATGGAGGATTTTTTTGTTTGTTTCAAATTGTCAATGAAAGTTTAAAATACCATTACAGAGACGCAGCAGCTTTGTAATTATCATGACCAAAAAAAAAAGAAAGAAAATCTATCAACTTTGGACGTGTTGAGGCCAGATAAACATCAGCCAATAGAAAACGAGGCTGCCTCATTTTCTATTGGCTGTTAGGTTGTCAGTCAATCTCCCTACGTTTCTAAGGTAACTATGCAGCAGTTCTTAGAGGCTTTTTCTAATTGTGGCTCTCGCAGTTCACATAAAGTTTGTTGCGATGTCGGATGAGAATCCACGACCAGTTCGCCGCAAAAGAAAGTCGGTTTTTGAGGTCGCTGAAAGACGAAGAGAAGGAGAAAAGGAGCGAAGACAAACTGAGGTGGTTCTTGGAGATTCCTTTCAGTAACTGCGCGACTGAAGCAGACGAAGGCTCTAAAAACTGAGGTGTCGGTCTCTAAATTATTTCTAGAGGGACCTGTGTAGGAGGAAGATGGTGTCAAGGACTGTCGCTGGAAAAAAAAATACAACTTT